CAAAGATTGAAGAAAAGCAGGGGGATGTTAGCCAGTGCTAACCTGACTTTGCTGCTCTGCATCTTTTCACCTGCAAATATTCTGAAAATGGCAGTGCTGGTCTTCAGCTGCTCGATTCACATGGGACCTGGTCTTCGAATTTCCAGATCTTCTTCCCTGGCCAGCATCCTCTTTTTCTGTTTTGGGGGCTCTCTTGATGTCTTCCCTTCTTCTCAAGGGAGAAGACAGATTAATAGGAACGTAGGGAGAGCGAGGGACTCGCACCCTTGACCACTCATGTAAGGATTCTGGGAATTTCACTGTGTTTTTCCCTTTGCAAAAAGAGAACGAAAGCTGTTTCTCTTCTGGGAAATGGATGTATGGGGGCTCCAGAGGCTTTTCAGCAATGCCTGGCTTGGAAACTGGGGCTTTTTGCAAAGTCAGAGGTGCTCTTCCCAAGAAGATCTGGAAGGGGTCAAGAATTGATCTAAGGCCGCAGGTTCTTCCTGTCGGCTGGGAAGGCTCCCTGCCCTCCCGCCAAGGACGCCAGCGCCGTGCGCCAAGTCTTCCCGCTTCAGAAGCAATTAAGATCATCCTGTGGTTACAAAGCTGTTACCCTGGGAAACGGAGGAGACTCGAGCCCTGGATCTGGCAGCCTTGAGAAGATGCGGTGCTTCCCGGGGGTTAGGGCTGCCATCCTGATGCCAAGAGGCCTTCGAAGAGGAAGATTTTCTCCTCGGTCCAGCGTCATGCGCCAAACACTCTCAGCCTCATTAGTGACTAGCCAGAGATACGGTGAGTCACAGTCAGCTGCGTCCCAGCCAACTGCCGACTGGGCTGTGTGGAAGCGCTGCACGTTTGCAGAGGCTGGCAGCAACAGCTTTCCCGGCCAGGCGAGGGGGCCACGAGTCCAGCCCCCAACCTTGGATTTGCAACACCTTGGCTTGTAGCAAGATCCACTTTGGCACCTCCCAGGGTACCTACCACCCGAAGCGCAACTCTCAGCCGCCCGTCTTTCTATCTTCCTATTCCAAACTGCCCTTCATTGAGAACCATGAGGACTAGAATTTCACGCAGGGCTAGGGAAAGTCCCATACCTCAGTGGTAAAGCCCACATTTTGGGACAAGGCAGATTCCCCCTGCTCTGCGCTCGTGGCCTTGCAGAGTGCTACTATTAAAAGTAAAAACGCAATCAGCTTAAGTAAATAGCCAGAGACAGATTTCTAAAGAAGTCACTTCCACTGGACATGGGGAATGAGAGAGAAACTTCCTTGAAAATCGTTGGAGATTGGAAGCACCAAACTGGGGGGAAAATGGATGGTCAGATGGGTTGAGGATTCAAAGTATCATTCTGCATTTTTTACACCTTAATCTGAAATAAACTGAGATGGGCTGTCATGCAATTCAAGTTTTGCTTGGCTCGTGGTCTAAGCCTTCCATATTCTCACCTACTATTACAAATGGCACATGAATGCTTTAAATTTAAAGCATTAAATTTAAATGTTGAGCAGAGGAATACAATTGGGTATGCAAAGAGTCAGCTTTCTCTCTTAGAGAACAGCGGAGACCATTAGCAACATATTCTTCAAGGTCTAATAAGTCATCATCATCTTTATCATCATCCATGGTTTGCTCAATCATAATTAACTAAGCCATAATTGGGTAGTTTCATCCAACCGGCTGAGCCATAAATGATAGCTGACAAAACTCAACAGCTAAATGCACGCAACACTCTGAAAACAAACAAGCCAGTTTGTGGTTGAGAATGGAGGGTGAATCAGTTTAACTGCCTTTCCTTCTCTGTCTGCACAGACTAAGGTCTGAATCTGTGTTTGGAATTCCTGTGGCTAAAATATTGCATTGCAAAGCTAAAAATCCTGTATTTTCTTTCTGCATAAATCAGCCGTAGGAGTCTAGGTGGAGACAATCATTTTGTTTTGCCACATAGACTTCGCCTGCATGGATTCTCAGCTCAGGTTGAATACGAAGTTGCCAAGTCATAGAAAACCTGTGTGCCGTATAGAAGCTAGAATTAATATCTCAACGTAAGGATTTCAACGTTTTTTGCCTTCTCCAAATCCAAAACAAACCTGGATAGATTTCTTTCACCCAGGGTGGACAGTGGGAGGACATAGTCCTTCAGGGGAGAAGGAGGCTGCTTAAGGATCTGAGCAGAGGTTGATGAATTGATATGGAGCTGGGACAGGGAAGAGGGGGGAAATCCTGGTGGTTTCCATTCTCAGCTTCTGAACCTTTTGAATTAAATACCCCAAGGGGGTTAGTGGGAGCGTCTCCGCTTGAAAAAGTCCTACTCCTTGTGTGGATCATTTATGTTCCCATTGCACTTATGACCTTGCCTTTCCTCCAAGATCTGAAAGCTTAATATCCTTCCTCCCATCTTATTATATTCAGCACAGGCGTGCTGAGAAGGACCTTGTGTCCCTCAACAAGCTCCATGATTGAGGGGGAATTGAACCTGCGTCTCTTCAGTCCTAAGCGAACCCTCTTAACCCCTCTGGAAGCAACTTCTGATGTGCAGCAGATGACCCCTCCTGACCCATCTGCCCCTTGTTACGAGCAAGGAGGAAATGGGGCAGGGAAAGGCTCTGCTTGTTGTCCAGGTTCTTGACTAGCTGGGGACTGAGCAAGTGGCAATCCTACTCCGGCAATCCAGACTGGGAAAATGTGCTTCTCGGGAATTTCAACAAGTCTTTGTGCTTCCTTCCTTCCAAATCTCATTCTGGCCACTGCAGTGGTTGTAGCCAGCACCAACATCCTATTGCGTGGTTGTCATGGAAACTGGTGATAACTCCCGGGCGATGGAGGGAGCAGGAAGGAAATGGCTTGGTGGAACTGCTGGAAAGATGAAATGGAGGGGCCGTAAACGGCAGTGCCCAGAAAGCATTGTGGATTTGGGATGAGGCCGAGTTGAGCCATGGCTGCATACCATCTTGACTTGGAACTGGGCATTACTCCTTTGCTTACTTGAAGCTGAGAGAAGCCTCCTTTGAAGAGTCTCACGTTCTCCTAACCTTCCAAGAGAGACCACTGTCCTGAGTCTCTCATTGGGATAAAGACTAAATCATGTAATTTCCCTCAATTAGAGTAGCCCCTCTATGACTATTCCAGAAAGGGCCAACTTTACACCCTTAATATAGGTAGCCCTCTGTTTTTTCCCTTTCCCCTATTAGAATCCTATTCAAGATGTCCCCAGTTTGGCCCCAAGACAAATGTAGCAGAATATTTACCATCCTGGCTTCCATACAGCTGTTCTTTGGATGGGTCTCCCCAGGGAAGGCTCTTTAAGAGGTCTGTAACAAGGCTGGAAGTCTCTCCTACTGCAGATCCTGGAGAACATCTTGCTAATAGGTGGTTTCTGGCTGTGTGTCTCAAGCTGTGATTCATCAGAAAATGTCACCTCCTGCTTTCAGGCCAGTCAGAAATCAATGGCTTCTTTGTAGACTTTCCAACTCCATTAGGTTTCCATTGAATGCCGCGCCAAGGCTCCGTCAACCAGGAGATCCAAGTGGCATTGTTGGGGGTTATCACTGTTGCCCCTCCAAAACTGACCCAGGCATGCTGTGAACGTGGAGGGCCAAGGTTTTATTTTTGCTGCGTGTGAAAATGAACGTCAGCAGTCACTTTCTGATGGAAGCTGTCTCCAGGAAAAAGATGACCTGACTTCAAAGAAGATAGCGAAGTTGTGTGCTGTTGTTGATTATGATAACTTCCTTTGTGGGTGAACTTTTGAAAGTCTTGGGCTGCAGGGAGATGTAGTATTTTGGATTGCGACAAATCAGATGCCTCTTCAGATGCATATCTAAATATTGATGGCATCATGCAACTGTTGGTTTCAACTTGGTGGCTTCTAAACTGGTGCCAAGTGCCCAATTTATGGAGAGATTTGCGGTCCAAGGTGACAAATAAAAGATAAGCCGCGGGCCACTGTATTTTTACAATGAGGAAAAAGTGAGGAGTAATGAGTAAACTAAGGGTATCCTTGTTTGCATTGGGATATTCTACCTAGCTTTGCTGCAATCCAAAAACAAGACTAAAGAATGGAAGAAAATAATTCATGAGGATTTTTTTTTTTTAATTTCAGGGACTTTCTGCCCCGTGGATCTGGAATTGTCACCAGACGGCCCTTGGTTCTGCAGCTGGTTAATGCCACAACTGGTACGTGAGTTGTTTCTTATTCCCTCCCTTCATCATGACGCAGACTCAGAGCTGTTTCTCCAATTCCCTGCAGCCCTTCCTGTTTCCCACACCTTCTTCCATGTTTTTTTCCCTTCTAATAGAGAGTCCAGAAGGGGGACAAATCAGTCAACCCACGTTGTCCATCTTCCCAAAAGCACGTGGTTGGGAGAGACCCAAAGCAGGAGGCAAAACTAGGTGGGGAAAGACATTAAGGCAAGAGTAAATATTGACAGCAACACACAACTGTTGGTTTGAACTTGGCGGCTTCTAGCACTCCCAGGAGTGTCCAATGTTTGTAGAGGTTTGCTGTCCAGTGTAACAGATAAGAGATAAGCCGGGGTCAAGCTCTGAAGTCCAAGCTAGAGAAACCTGGCAGTGGAGTCCAAAGGGATGCCAAACAACAAAAGGAATTCCAGGTCCAGGATGGGAGAGTAGAGCTGTTGGAGGTATTATCTGGTGTGTGATTTTCCTCCAGTGTAGCAGCACCTGTGTTCAGGCTACTTGCTTTGACCACAAGGAGGAAAAGGGGGAAAGTGAACTCATTCCAGGGGGTAGATAGTCGTTGTCCCTTTCCCAGTTGAAAATCAACCTGCAGTTCTTGGTGGGTAAACAGTGGTGGCCAACAGAAGTAGAACATCAACATGCGGACTTAAGATCTCCCCATCCGTGATCCGGGACTCCTTATTTGCACAAAGGAGTTGCCAAATCCTGTTGTGTTGTCCCTGTGCCCATTTCTAACCCTCCCCTTCCTGGTCTAGAATATGGCGAGTTTCTACACTGCAAAGGGAAGAAGTTCACAGACTTCGACGAGATCCGTCAGGAGATTGAAGCCGAGACCGACAGAGTCACTGGCTCCAACAAGGGCATCTCCCCGGTCCCGATCAATCTGCGAGTTTATTCTCCGCATGGTAAGTCATGGAAGCGTACGAGTGTGGGGAGCAGAAGTCTACGACCCCATTTCGTGTGAAGGTGGAAAGCCCTCGGATCTGGGGAGCCCATATTTTAGGTGGAAAAAAAGCTTATGGGGAGAGAAACGTAACATCGAAGCTTATAATAATATGGCTGGCGTCACGTGGCATTCTTAATCACAGACTAGCCAAACTGATTTTGACCTAGTGAGTTGTGCAAACCCAGCCTGTGATGTGAGACATACAAGTCCTCAATATCGGGTAAATTAAAAAAAATGATGGTTAAATCAACCAAAAGTAAGCTTATCACGTAAGCCCAGATGATGGGCCGGGCTGCAATCCATCATCAGTGATTTTGCTTTAATGCCAAGCACGTTCCCTGTTATTTTGTCTGTCATCTGTCTGGAAAAAGCTTGCAGACAACATGGAATTTTAGCGCTATGGATACAGGTGAATGGAGTGTCAGATGTGAGTCTTTTCTCCGGTACTCGTCCCATGCAGCCAAATAAAGAAAAATACAGGTTGTTTTTTTTACCATTTTAGGCTTGCAATTTTGTGCAAACCAGTCGTCATAGTTACAAATAGGTTTTAAGTCACCAATGGCAAACCAAGCCAAGTCGACTGCCAGCCAGGTGGACAATGCTGGATTGCTTTGTTCACTTGTTTACAACAAACTAGAGCTTGTTTAAAACCACATAACAACAAACCAGCAGTTGGAGAAAGCCAGACGTGATTGATCCTTCCCTGTCTCGCAGGGTAGAATGAAAGAATTTGAACACAGAGGTAGCTGTGGGTTTGCTTTTGCTTCTGCCCGTAAAAGATCAATCCTGGTTTAGCACAGTCTTCATGGCAAACCTGTCTGTCCAAATTTTGAGGGCCTGGAGTGAAGGTTCTTCTGACTCACCTTGACAGCAACTTTATTCCACTTGCGGTTCCTTTCAGGCTTCCAACAGCTGTGCATCCATGAGTCCTTCTGGGTCCTGTAACTCCTTCTCTTCTTTCCCTAGTCCTAAGTCTGACACTGGTGGACCTTCCTGGGATGACCAAGGTTCCAGTTGGAGACCAGCCTCCAGACATTGAATTCCAGATTCGCGACATGCTCATGCAGTTTGTCACCAAAGAGAACTGCCTCATCCTTGCTGTCTCTCCTGCCAACGCAGACCTGGCTAACTCCGATGCTCTTAAGATCGCAAAAGAAGTTGACCCTCAAGGTAAGGGCCACGCTTGTGGTTTTGGCCTTGTGTCTATTTGTTTCCACAAACCAGGTCTTTTTGTTTCCTGAATTATGGATTATTGCAAGGATCAGGCCAAAAAGAACAAGAAGAGGTTGGGTTGACGTTGAAGGAGTCATACCCTTGAGATGAAATGGAGCACAGGGAGATTTAGGATATACAAGCGAGAAGCAATGCCATGCCATGCCATGATGTCATTGTGCAGATTACACCATGATGCCTGTGACATCATTGTGGAGTCTAGAAGTTTACACCAAGAAGGTGCAGGCTAGAAAGTGAGATTACAATGCTTCTAAATGGCACTAGACCTGTATAACCCAGTTATAAACACTAGAGAAACATCACGTTTCTGTTGTTTCCAACAGGCAATGGACGTATCCTACAGCAAAACATACTTTATATTAACTGGAGATTGTGCTAACCTTGAATGCTAGAGCTTTGTTTTCTTCATAATGGAAAAGTCCAGCCCCTAACTCTCTTGTTAGAAATTCAAAGGATGTCTGATTTACTTGCAACCTAACAGGCCAACGTACCATTGGAGTCATCACCAAGTTGGACCTCATGGATGAAGGAACCGATGCTCGAGATGTTCTGGAGAACAAGCTGCTTCCACTAAGGAGAGGTAAAGGTCCATTCCTTTTCGTCTTCATGTGCCTTGCTTTCTTCTGAAATCCTTCTTTGCACAGTTCTCTGACCACGTGTCTTAGCAATGCTATCACTCTTCTTGGAAAGATTTTTCTCCTTGGATGAAGTAGGGATCCAGATGTAACCACTGAGGTTAGCCTCGAAAGCCCTAAACAGCTGACAGTTTCCATGTCTTGATGACCATCACCTTCCCTCGAGACACATTGAAACTTTACACTGTGTTCTCCCTGTGGTTTTTTGCCTAAAAATAATGTGTGCTGAGATAATGTAAAATGCTGAAAAATACACTTTTTTTTGTAACGATGCTGGAATGATAATGTTGACCTTCTGAGACCCATCCTAGATGTCAAACTGCTAGATTCTTTTATCCGTTGCATTTCTAGGAACCTGGGTATTCCTTGATTAGCTGGCATCCTGTTGTTTTGTGGAAGGAGCATATGTTCTTATTTTTCCCGGTAGAACTGAGATGAGTGAATGTAGCAGAACTTCCTGGATGGCTTCTATCTCGATTCTCTGGTAGATGCCAAAAGGAAGGAATTAATTTTCAAGGCATCCTGTCCATTGTTAAAGAAAATTAGAAGGGAAACGCACACAGTCGTGCAGCGTGAAATTCCAGTTTCAAATACTCCAATTCCTTTTCTGCCTAGCCTTCCTGCTGCTAGTGTGTATACAATTTTAGCATTCCCCCATTTCCCTGTATGACTTCTTAGGTTAATGCAAACTTGGAGATGTTCTACTTTCCATTGGAGTGCGTAGAACTTGATACCTAAAAGCTGGTGCTTGAGAGATTAAAACTCCTCTTAGAATCTTCTCCATCTTACAGTTTTAGTAGGTATAATTTCTAGTTCCTTGTCCCCTAATGTTTGGATTTGTCCTTCCTTAGGTTACATCGGGGTGGTTAACCGGAGCCAGAAAGATATCGATGGGAAAAAGGACATTCAGGCAGCCTTAGCTGCAGAACGCAAGTTCTTTCTCTCCCACCCAGCGTACCGGCACATGGCGGATCGTATGGGCACGCCCTACCTGCAGAAAATACTGAACCAGGTAAGGTTTACCTCCAGAGCTGCCCGAGTCAAAGGCTAAGATAGAAATCTGCCCCTCTTGGATCTGCAGACCTCAACTGGATAACCGTTGTGTTATATATCTTTCAAAATGAAGAGGAGAGATTTTCACATTGAACTAAGCCATCCAGTGGTTGGGCTTGGCTTGGTTGAAAGCAGAGCATGAACTCATCCGTTGCCGCTTGTGAACAATAGTTTTGGCTCAGTGTTCTATGAGAACCCAGAAACGGTGGTTTATTCAGCAAACCACGTTTAAAACAAACCATGCCTTAATCCAGAGCCCAGCCTAGGTGTGTGATTTCAAGGGACTGCAGATCAGTTGCTCTGCACTGTGCAAGATGACTGTGGAGTTGTTGATATGAGATGGACACCCATATAAATGATTGAAACAAATGCAGAATAAATTATTCAATCAGTTACTTGACTCCATTAACGCTTTTTAAATGGACTGAACGTTTCCGGAATTAATACAGAGCCCTCCCCACCTCCAGTATGCAGCAAGGATGAGGCAAGACTGATCATAGGTTACCTCCAGGCTACTTAGAAAATGATGGTGTACAAAGATCAGCTAAGGCTGATCAGGACTTGGGCCACCATTTGTCCGAAGTGTGAAGCCAGTGAAGGAAGGGGGGCATAAAAGCACGATCTGGCCCATGGATGATCACCCTTTTGCCTCTGTTGTACAGCAACTGACCAATCACATCCGCGACACGCTGCCAGGCCTGCGGAACAAGCTCCAGAGTCAGCTGCTCTCTATTGAGAAAGAAGTAGACGAATACAAGAATTTCCGCCCCGATGACCCTGCCCGCAAGACCAAAGCTTTGCTCCAGTAAGTCCCACATGGAGAGTTTGCTCTTCCATTCAAAATGCTCTAAGGTGAGGTCTTTGGGGACTCCACTGATGTTCAGAGTGGCGTCTCAGGAGGTGCCACAAAATGTAGGCAGAGCCAGGACAACCCCCCCTAAAAGTTGGGTCTAGGCCAAACCCAAATTTAACTTAATGTAAATGTCATTAAACATTCAGCCCACTTAATTAAATACTCTTAGTAAAGCTATAGCAATGGGACAACCCCTTCTATGCCTTTAATGATTTTCACCTGTTGTCACATTCAGAATTACAATTTGGAAGACTACACCCAGGCATTTTTTAAAAAATCATAATTCATCAGTGAAAATTCGAATGTGCCAATCAACAAGCACCAATAGTATTAGTGTCAACCGCTGGAGAAAGACTTTTACAAAAATATAAAAGGATCATCAGCGATCAGTGAAAAATGAATCAGGAAGAAGTTAGGGAGTCCTGCGGAACAGAAAATTTCAACTGTGAACCTTAGAATGGAGAGAACTTACCTCCACCCGTGCTTGTTCTAAGAAGTAGGGCCAAGAGCAAAACTTTTTGTAAGCCAAACAATCAAGAATGCTCCATGAAGTTCGAGCAACCCAGACCATGGGCTGTAAGCAGGAGCACTTTGATCATTCTTGGAAACAAAGTGGAAGCCAGAGCAGATGTTTCCACCATAACAATCTTTTCCCCTTCATGGCAGTGAATCTTTTTCCTCCCCCAATGCAGGATGGTTCAGCAGTTCGCTGTGGACTTTGAGAAACGCATCGAAGGTTCTGGAGATCAGATCGATACCTATGAGCTCTCTGGTGGTGCTCGGATCAATCGCATCTTCCACGAACGATTTCCTTTTGAGCTGGTGAAGGTAAGACTAAGCCTCTGATTACTGTTTAGGCACTTCCTTGATCCTCACATCTTGATGTCCCACCTTAATCTGTATCTCCCAGGCTGAGGTCATCTGTCTTAAGACGTAAAACATAAACATGGGCCTGTAAGTCCAGAACTTCTAGGTTCTAACAAATTACAGTGCTACATAACATGGTTTTCAGTTTTGATTTATGCCACTAACATTTAAGTAAAATCAAGGTGGAATACTTACACATAGTCTCGAAATGGTTAACCCTCCAACTTCTAAGCAGTCATAAGATCTCATCCATCTGGCAACAAAGGCACCAGTTCAGTTAAGACTGAGCTAGAATTTGATAAAGATATGGGCAGCAGATATTGGTCAATGGAAAGAAAGATGGTTCTAGGACAGCCATACAATTACATTCTAGCTGCCAAGCTAGCTTAGTCTTTCTTCACATCCCATAATGCCTTTCAATACAGTACGTAGCTTTATTACAGCAGGATGTAACCATCTCCCAGGAGGATTAGAGCTGAACATCTGGAAGTTAATCAATATGGTTACCCAACAGAGGAATAAAAGATGAGGTTATGTTTCTGAGAATACTGGGAGATGTTCTCCCATCATGTTTAGCAACTCCAGGTTAAAGAAGGTTGATCCGTCTTCTCCATTACATAAAGTAGTTCTTCATTTGGCATGTTCCCCTCTTGGCGTTCCTGGTCCCACTCATGTCTCTTTCTCCTGGTGTAGATGGAATTTGATGAGAAGGAGCTCCGAAGAGAGATCAGCTATGCTATTAAGAACATCCACGGTATCAGGCACGTATTCCTGCCACAGAGGCATAGCCTCTACCACGTTCCTCTGACAGTATCTCTAGAATTCTCAGGCGTGAATCCAGAAGACTTCAGAGGTATGGTAGGTTGGCAGACTGACCCAAATACCTGCCCAGGCCACTGTCTTTGAAACATTTTGGTAGGTTCTACTATTAATTATCGGTGGCCTGCATGCTCTTTTTCCTGAGATGAAGTTTCCTCTCTATGTTGGGAAGATACGTTGTCTCGAAGAGGACAAGGAAGTAGGGAAGTTACACCCGCTTGCCCATGTATGGTTTTAGGTTGATTTTCTGAATACTGACAAGAGCTCAGCTTCACAATCTAGTAGTGAAGTAATGTGTCTGAAGCTTTTTCAGATAGACCTACTAAAGGTCAGAACCAAATGAGTTACTCCCCACCACCTGTAGGCTGAACAGCCCAGCCAGCCCTGTTATTGTAGGTGTTCCACAAGGAGGGATGTTTTATAATTTGGTAATGTTTGATCCTGGAGCTAAACGAACCAGATTGGCCCTCTCCAAACTAATGTGCAAAAGGGGACCCAGCTTTTGGATTCCATGCTTCTCACAACCCTACCAGGTAGGGATCAGGTTAAATGCACACTTAAATGAATGTTAAGATGTGCTTTAATGTATATCATGTGCAAGAGTGCATCGTTTAGCATAAGGTTTCTACAGAAGCTTACCAGAAAATATGTATACAGTATGAGATGCACAATGCTTAAGTATGTTTTAAAAATTTCATCCCAAGCTAGTATAGGTGGAACTGAGATAGAGTGGGTTTAGGAATGAAAATGCACAGAACAGATGTTGATGGAGAATAGCCTGATTTGGCCATACCTATCTAAAGAGCTTTGCCATCAAAATTTGATTGGCTTGCAACATGCAGCTTTTACAGTGTAGACAGAGGTTAGCAGCTCAGCCCCAGGATGTCGTCCCCCACACCCTGCCCCCAGAGGACTTGATGATCCTCAGCCACAACTTTCCCACAAGGGACGGGCTCATGTTTGGACAGACTTCTTGGGTCACAGGCAAAGATGGAGAATCTCCATTCCCAAACTGACCGCCCAACAACATCTCATAAAATGGCCATACAATTCTGGAAAATAAGGTGTTCCAGAACTAGGAGAAGACCAACAAGTCTTCTTGCTGTCTTTTGTGAATGGAGTTGGATCCCTGAAGGATGAAGGTCAGGAAGCTGGTTGGATAGACCTTAGGGAATTCTTGTTGACTCAAGGATTGTCTTTCTGGGTTTCACATTTCCACCCCAACAGGCCGGCTGGCTTTCTGCGCAATGAGTAACCCCTTTCAAACTTTAATGCAATGCAATGACGTTCTCCTTGCCCTATTTCCCTCCCACCTTGTCCTCTTGTCCTCTTCCACCACTATCCCGCGTGTTTAGAACTGGTCTCTTCACGCCTGACATGGCCTTTGAGACCATTGTGAAAAAGCAAGTGAAGAAGATTAAAGAGCCGTGCCTGAAATGCGTGGACATGGTCATTTCGGAGTTAATCAATACGGTTAGACAGTGCACCAAGAAGGTAAACCCGGGAAGGGGAGCATGGAGTCCTCACATGCTGGTGCCTGCCCCCTGCCAGCTGAAGCACAGCATTTGTGATCTAGGGTGCTGATCCTGCCTGGCCGCAAAACTCCTGTTGTTTTCTTCCGGTCTGCCCTTCTTCACAGCATGACTAGACCTGAGTGAATCCTGCCTGAAGCTTCCTAGCCAATCAGAAACAAATAGCAAAGCTTAAGTGGGTGACATGAGTGGTCAACATTTCTCCAGTCAAAGCTTGGAGATGCAATTCTGGAATTCCGAAATTCCGCGACTACGAGCTCTTATAGAGAATATGGAATAATTGCTTTCTATTCGCTTTAGAGTTGTGGGGTTTTTTAAAATAAAAAGCTACCGTCTTCTCTCTTTGCTGTCCAACATCTCCATTTGATGCTCACGTAGAGCATGTCTGGGAGGCTTGCGATCTTCAGCAGTTTGAAGAAACCAAATTTATAAGGCAAAAACAGAGGTGGGATTCTAAGAGTGGTTTTCTGAGATTTGATAAGAGCATGCATTGCAAAATTACATTTGCTGATGCTTCCCTTCATCTGCGTTGGCTTCCTTTCCTTTCCTCCTTTTTTCCAAATTGGGATATATTTCTTAAAACCCATGGATGATCCTTCCTTTTGCCAACTGTATTTGGAAATATTTTAAAAATGGTTGTAGAATTGATCCACAAGTTGGTGGTGGAAGGTGAAATGGTACAATCCCCAATATAGCTAGTTGGGTCTCACACATTTTTTCTTTTCCAGAATTCATCCCAAAACCAAAAAAATACACATTTTGGAACAATCAATAATACTGAATAATATTGACTGTTGAACCAACTTTACCACTCTTAAAATCTTATGTCTGCCTTCACCTCTGAAATACGTGTGTGTGCTGAGTCTTCAGATCCTGAAGATGCCAAAGATGGTATTGCATGGATCGGTTTTTACATCTCCAGAGCTTGGCATGTTTTCTGATTGGCTTGGTTTGGGTCCAGCTCCCAAAGAGCAACGAAGAGTTGAAGATCATCAATTTTAAAACATCTCCCTCTCTCAGTTGCTTGTGACTGTCTCCCAGCCTCATGGAAAGGGCAACCCTGGAAGATACCAGCTTGCATATGTTAATGTTTTGATTGAGAGGAACACAGAGAACGGTTCCAGTCTCAGCTCTTCAGCTTATTTTCTGAAGCTGAACAAAAATAATAATGTGAGGGAGCAGGGGAAAAGTCAGGAGACAGACCTGTATCTCAAGCATGGCTCCAGGTACTGGCAGTTTTATTTTCTTTCTTTAAAAAAAAAAAAAGGCATTTGACTAAAAGTGTGGGAACCTGGAACCCTTGCCGTCTTGGACAAGCTGTTGGCCATTTGGGAGCAGGTAATGGGATGGGGAGAGTTGGAGAGAGCTTGAGAATGCTCTTGGTAGTAGACAGGCCAAGGAAAAGGCAAAATTCATGGCTGCTTTGGCAAGAAACCACAGTAAGACTGGTCAGAGCCCTTTGACAAAACGGATGTACCTGCCGCAGGTTCCTCAAGGTTCTAGAATGCTGGGAGGAGTTTTTTCTTTCTCTGTCCTGCTGTCTTGGGGGGGTTCCGGTGTCTATGAGGAGCACCCAGAAATTTGCCATTCGCTCCTGGTAATCACTAGCTCTTGGGCTGCCAAGTATAGAGTGTCATCTGAACGATTGGATTGGAAGGGCCAATCCTCCTCACCCAGCCCTCTCTGTTAATTTTCCTATGAGTCAGTCCACATTCTCTACTTTTCCTTAAGCCCTTTTCTGCTTCTGAGTTTATTTCTTTGCTTATTTCCCTCCACATTCTTTCTCCTTTATGTTCTTTCTCTTCCCACCTCCCTCACCCACTCCCACGAGCAGAAAATCCATACCTCTAGTGAAAGCCTGTTTAAAGCTGATGTGTTCTGAGGGACAGGAGAAGGAAGAAGAACAAAAAAGAAAGGAAAAATAAATGAACGCTGATATAGAGTAGGGATGGGGAGAACCAGGGATGGCAGGCTTGAGACATGATGTGATGGATCTAAACAGGGAGGAGTTATGGGAGCTTGAAAGAGGAGAGAAGAAATGGCAGTGATTGGGTGGTGATGGCATGGTGATCCTGACGTTACTCAGAGGGCCAATATATAGAACCCTCTTTGCGTAACGTCAGCCTGTGATGCAAGAGCTCTGAATCGATCCATTTTTTTTTAGCCCCTCAATAACCAAAGCAACCCTAGCAGGTGTACAAAAGAACAAAGATTAAAAACAGTTGGTGAATTATGGGTTCACCAACCTTCAGTTTATGCCCAGATGGTACTCACTGTAAAACAACAGTGATCACTAATTACTCCACGCTATGATAGTAGCTTGTCTGATTTTCTATTTCTCAGCAACTTCATTTCTGTAGCAGTTATTTTAATGGGCGTCCCAAGATACACTAACTTGAGACAAGGTCAAAAGATGTCGGAAGTCATCTGAGTCCCACCATGAAGCCCAAACCACAGCTTTTCCCCTCCCACCCCACACATCACCCTGGTTTGGGATGATCCTCATTTCATTTCAGAAGTTTAAGGCAGGGAGAGATGCCTCAGAGAACTGAGCCTGGGAAGAAGATGCCTTCACCTCTTGGCCAGCCCTGAATTCGCTAGATGTGTGTGACAGTCTGTAAGCATGTATGCACATGAGAGAGAAAGAAAGGAGGGAAGAAAACTGAAGATAAAGGACTGGTCCTGCCATGAGGCAGTGTGAGGCGGTTGACTCAAGCAATAAGTCCAGAAAGTGGTGGGCAAATGTTGACCTGTTGACTTGCTGCTTTTGAGTGGAGGCAGCTGGTACTAAAGCAGTGGTCAGTCTGGTGGGCTTCTGTTGATATCAGCGGGAGCCTCAGACAAGCAGATTCCTTGGGCCAATCATAGAAAGTGCTTTTGATTAGCTCACGACACCTCTTTATTACTAACGCTGTGCATGGGTAAAAGAGATGCTGCAGTGCTCAACTGATTGCATTTCTGCAGAAGGTCATGGCAAGAGAGCATGGCATTAAGATGGTTGGGATGGCCTGTTTTTCAACTGGACAGCGTGCAGGTGCTGTATGCTAGTGGAACAGTGGTGAGATCTCCTTGGCCAGAGGTCTTCAAGGAAAGGGTGGATGGTCATCTGTCAGAGAAGCTCTAGTAGATCTTGGACTGAGCAAGGTTTGGATTAGGTGACCTAGACATGCCTTGGTAACTCTATGATTCTAAGAAGATGGGAAGTTTTAACTTGGTTTCCAAAGTTAACGTCGCACAGGGAGATTTGTGTGTTGCTAACACCTTCATTGCTACCTTCCCCAAGTTCTCAAGATGCCCTGTGCATTTCAGTGTCACCACGAGCGAGCCAGCGGTGCTCAGGAGAGAAGGAAATCCAGTCTGGATCCCAGCCTCAGTTTGAGAGGGGAAAGGAGGAGAGGAGCTGGAGAACCATCCCCACGTGTCCCCATTCATCATTTTAAATATCACCCCTAGCTTGCCATTTCCCACCCTTTCTCTAACCTGCAGAATTCACTAGATGCTTGGCAGCACACGGAGTCCTAAAGTGATGCTCACCTGGGTAACATCTGCCTGTGGAGTGATCCGGAGAAAGTCTCACTTCTCTCTCTCTTTTTTTTTACCTTGTGTTTTTTCTCTTCCTCTCTCTCTTTCACTCTCTCCTCCCTCTGTCTGCTTCATGCCTTCCTTACCTCCTCGTTGCTTCTTGCCCCACCCACCCACCCACCCACCTTCCCTGCTCCTTTTCATCGTGCAGAACGGGTCTCTTCACGCCTGACCTCGCTTTTGAAGCCATAGTGAAAAAGCAGGTGCAGAAACTGAAGGAGCCCTGTCTGAAGTGTGTGGACATGGTAGTAAGTGAGCTCACGTCCACCATCAGAAAGTGTAGCAACAAGGTAAAGAAACTGCAAAAGAGAGAGAACTACTCCCCCCCTAAAAACAATGCCACTTTTTCGTGCGCGCAGGCACACCCAGAGGAACGCACAAGTTGTGCACATGGGACAGCCAAAGGAGAAAGAACAAGGAGACCCCATGGGGTGGTTTTCTCCATTAGAGTAGGACAATTGCCAGAGATGATGTGGGGAGAGTAGGAGGGCTGATAGTTGTGAAGCAAGAGGGGTGATCAAGAGGTGGCAGGATGAAGATGCTTGTTGGACCATAAGAGGCACATTCTACTTCTGAAACGGCAAAGGACAATGGCAGGAGATGGTGGGCTTCCATCTCCGGCTTGCGAGCGCTCCAAAGGTCTGTGTGTTGGCCTTTTCTCGAAGAAAGAGCATACGAGCGTGAGATGGTCTTAACATTTCATCTTTGGCCTTTGGAGCAAAGTCTCTACCTGATCCAGCTAGGGCTTCACCCTGATGCCCGTGAAAGACAAAATCTGAGTACCAGATGTCTTCCTATGGGCCCACAGCTGAATTTTATTTCTTTCAAAACTGCATTTCCAACATTTCTTCTCCTCACGGTGACATCCCATTAAAATAAATAAAAAAAGCAGTTTTTCTTGGTAACAGTAGAAAAGTAGCTTTCTATTCCCTTCCTCTGGAATGTCTTCTTTTTTTATTTTTATTTTCCAGTCTAGCTCTGGATATTTTTTAGTGGTCTCCCATCCAACATCTTAAAATTGCCCATCTGGAGGCAGACAGGTAATCCAAGATGATCTCTGGCCCCTTAAAGATTTCCCTGCCCATCCTTCAGCTGAAGCGGAAGCCTACCTCTTTGAACATCTGCCCAAGACAGAGGATGAGCACCAGTTAGTGACACCCCCTCATTATTCCAGCTCTTTATATTTCTTAAGTTCCCTAGTTTGTAGTTGAAAACCTCTTTGAGGTCAACTACAAGTGTTTCAAACTTTTTGAAAGGGAAGTCTTTGAGAAAGAATGGATTTCTTCTGCCCTTCCACCTCTTTTCCAAAAGATGCATTCTGAGTCCACCTTCTGGGGTATGTTTTTTGGACTCCTGGACGCCGTTAGATGGCGCCACGCACCTCTTTCATCTGGCATGCTTGCTCTTGATTAATACGTTGAAAGAACAACTGGCGTGAACTCCAGATTCTCAACTTCCCCCGTTTAGACAATTCGTTCAGAGTTGCAACGGCACAGCTCCTCGGCTGTATTTCGAGACCGCATCTAGGAATGCAAAGAAAGACGTTGGGGTAGAATCAAGGGAGGAGAAGAGGAAGGGAAATAACATCCTTATTTGAGGGCACGGGAGGGTATTTGTAACGTGGAGGCGAAAAAGGGATGTGTTTTCCAACGCAGGGGCAAAGGGCGTGCGTAGGAAAGGTTAGCCTTGTGGAAGGTTTGCTGGCGGGCTGGTTAAACCACGAGGGTCTTTCGAAGGACCTGCGTGTTTCAAAGGCAGATGCAAGTAACGTCCTTAGAAGAGGTTGTGAAAAGGAGGAGATGCCAGACAGGGGTTCAATTTTCTGCTGAGCATTTCTGAAGCTCACCCTTCATTAGGCACCCAAAACAATGGCAAGCAAGGAGGATTTGTGAGCAATTAAGGCTCGCTTTCCCAGCTCCCCTCTCTGTCTTTTACCTTCGGATAAAATCCGAAGATTCCTTTCTATTGGCAACTTAGGCTGCTGGACTGCGGAGCGAAGCCACCCTGCGGATTCTTGGTCCCCCCCCCCCCAATTTGGTTCGAAGAAGAGTTGCATTGTCTGGCCTCTCTTTGTTTGAAAACTCCAGCAGGCAGGGAGTTTCGCAGCTGCATATCCCCAACTCAGCTCCCGCAACCCAAAAGACACACGGGCATTGGCCAGGATGAGGGGGGAAAGGAAAGGAAGATGTCCTGCTGGTGGTATTTCTGTCCATCGGCAGATGACAACCTTCGTCGGGAACCTGCATCAGATGTTTCGAAATGCTATCATCCCGTGGGCCCCTTTGGGTGGACGTGAACTTGAGGCTTTGCACCTGGTGCCTCCTCTAAAACAACAGCTACGTGCATTTCTTTACCTGCTTCAGACCTTGAATTCCTGCTCCCAAATGTTCCGCAGCAGTGATCTCATTTCAGGCAGAAGCTGCAAGAAACAAAAAGAAGCACGTTTTGAAAATCCTGCATCCTAGGCCATCCCCGAAAACGCCTCATGAAGGGTTGCTAAACGGCACAGGAAATGAATCCATCTGTTTTCCAAGAGCTGCTGTGTGGGTGTCGGCGAATGCTTGTGAAAGAATCGAGTTTGGAGAAGAGATGACAGATTTGAACCACTGCCGGAGAGAGAGATCAAAATTTTCAGAGCAGGGGAAAAGAGGCAAACGCGTACTTTAGCACGTCCTGGCCCTCTTGAAACGATAGGAAAAAATGTGGGGGGCTTGGGAAACAGGGTTTTCCCAGTGTTGGGTTTGGGAGATGATTGGGAAAGATGGGAAGTGTAGTCCAGCACGGTGAAGCACTAACTTGGGAAAGGGTGATCTATCCTGGTGGAGATTCATTCTCCATGGTTTTCAGGGGTCACCAATTTCATTTGCCCGACATCCCAAACCAAACTGCCATTTTCTGGGTTTGCATAGGATATCAGACCATGAACTAACCCATAGGGCTGGACCAGGGCTCTTTTCCGTCGCTTCCTTCGTGTGTGAGTCAGACTTGATGCTCCGCCAGAAAGCACAGCTTGTCAACATTCTGCTAGCCAACCATTAAATCCGAATTCCAGCTCAGGGCTAGGATATCCATTTGTCGTGACAAGGAATAGAAACAGGGGGACTGGGCTCTGGGTGCGTCAACCCACATGAAAGATTGACCCCTCCAGGGCATAGCGACACTGCAGATGTACAGGTTGAGTTGCCAGGCAAGGGGCCCCAAGGACAGAGGGGGCCAAGGAGAGGGGAGCAAGGCTCCCAAAAGGCAGGGGAAGGGGCCAGGGCTGTTTACAGGAGGATGTCAGGCTAGCCATGTAGCGGGAGATGTACTGTAGTGGGAAGCCATGAGTTACAGTGAGAGGCGTCTGTTCTGGAGTCAAAGCCAGGAGCAGGAAACGGGGTTGCTGTTGATGCTGAATTTGAAGGCAGCCCCTGTTTGTTGGCGTAAACCAGCCCCCTCCTCCAGTTTGCCTGCTCTCTTGTTCAGAAGGATGGCATTTCTGGGTGCTGCTTATGTGACAGCCCCCTAACCCCCCCTCTGTGCACCCCAACGCATGGCCCTTTGGGGTGTGATCGGCCTGCGACGTGACTTGCTCGATGCCCAGCCATGCCCTCTCTGTGCATGTCCTTTTCCCCCACAACGTTGGATGCTTTTCCCGCATGAGTTGTGCAAAATGTGACGGTGATGGAACAAACGGCGGGGAATTTTTTGCAGCTTGGCGAACTTTTTTTGGGCGGGAGGAGGGGAATGTGGTGGTGTATTCTTTGGATAAGAGAGCTGGGAAAGGTTTTCCAATTTCCAGGCTGATTTTATTTATTCCTTTGACATGGTTCTTTCTGTCTCCAGCAAGAAAGAAGAGGATCTCCAAAACAATAGGCATTAAAATATCCTAGAGAAATAGCCTACCTAACCATTGTTTGAGAACAGGAGCACAGGAATGATGGTGTCCCTGTTAAAGCCACTGAGGGTCTTCTGGACTGGGTGGCCATTATTAATTTAAATTAAAAAAAATTAAACATGTGTTTGGATGCACTCAGTAACTAATATTCAATGCCACCCCCCTGGCAGGGAAGACATTGCCATTGGGGTTACACCAAGCCATGGTTTATTGAAACATGGTTTGCTGGTGAAGTCACAATTGGCATGATTCACACCACATGCTGACACCCTAAGCCTTTTCGCCACGATTTGCAAGCCACAATGGCTGGGTTTGTCCTCCGCTGAAAAGAAAGCCCACCATGATTGAATGCCCCTTTTCCCAAATGAAGAAAGTAGGGTTAAAGTGGGCCAGTCTGAAGAACATTGTTTGGATGCTGAAGAAGATGCTGAGGAAGAACCTCAAAGCTTGGTTGGAACTTGGAAAACTTCTTTGCAGCTTCCTCTTTTTTCATATTCTTTCCTCTTGCTTTTTCATTCCCCAACAGCCCAGCCAGGTGATCCTGGGGGGTGGGGGGTATGCCTTCCACCTGTTTTTCTGCATAGACATTCTTCCCTCTCCCTTCTTTACACAGCTGAGCCAATATCCTCACCTGCGGGAGGAGATGGAGCGGATAGTGACCACTCACATCCGGGACAGGGAAGGAAAGACCAAAGACCAGGTATGGTCCACCTGGAGAAGGTTCCCATTTCTGCAGCAACCAAACTGCCACCCTTTCAAGGTGGACACCACGAGCCATTTTTCATTGGGAGATCAAGCTTCCCTCCCAACAAAACCCAGCCTTCTTCAACTGGGGAGCCTCCAGGCAGTTTGGGCTTCAACTCCCACAATCCCCTTGCCTGGGGATTATAAGAGCTGAAGACCAGCATTTTTGGAGGCTCCAATTTCAGAGAGGGTGGAGGTCCAATGTTGCTCCTTTCTTTTTTCAAACTCATTCCCCTTGGATAAAGGGTCTCCAAGGGGGAAAACAGATAATTAAAACAGTCCATTAAAAACACTTTTACATTTTTTTTAAAGAAGTCTAATATTCCACTGTTGTTGTGGGAGTTCCCTAGTAAAAAAAAGAGAGAGAGAGAGAGAGATTTTATAACAGCAAAGGGGATGTTGGAAAACCTTAAAAAAATCAGACAGATCTTAAGACCCTTTCCAAGTTGCAAGCTTCTTCCCACATCCAACCCTTTTCAATCAGCAAATCCCAAAATCATCAACTTATTTCTATCCATGTTCAGCAAAAAGTCCATAAAGGCTTTCCAATATTTTACAAAAGTACTTATTGTCTTATCCCTGATCAAACAGGCCAGTTTCATATCCTTTTCTCTTATGCAGCATTCTAGCATTAGTAACTCTCAGCTTAGTGTTGAGATCTTGTTGAAGGTCACGTTGAGCGTTCTCAAGGGCTTCATCTCTCTCTTTGCACGGTTTGTTTCCCCAGGTCATGCTTCTGATAGACATTGAGTTGGCCTACATGAACACCAACCATGAAGATTTCATTGGATTTGCTAAGTAAGACTCCTGACCGAAACCTGGTTTGCAACTCAGTGCTGATGTTCACCCCTTCCTGTTGGGTGTCTAAGTTGTCCCTCTTGACAAATTTCACCCAGATGTAAACTATATATTATTATCTGCCTCCTGGGAAAAGTTGAAGTAGTGTTTTTGGTTTTTAACGTATATTCTTACCCATTCGTAGCATTCTTGGGGTTTTTTCGTAGTTATGAGCCACTAAGAGCCTACTTATGATTGTGGCAGGAGAGCCATCTGATTAATAAATAAAATAAATAGGATGGGGAAACGAAACGATCATGAACGCACCTTACGGAAGGAGTAGGCAGTTTGTAACTTGTGGGCAGCATCCCCCATGAAATGCAGAATCACAGGGAGACCCCCTCCCCAGATTTCCCATCACTAACTGGTCTGAACATGCTGGGAGGGAGATTTTAATGGCCCCAGAAGAACTGCAGACGTTTCCAGCTGGCTTGAAAATTTAGAGTTTAAATTTGTTCAGTTGCAGAGTGCCTGCACTATATTGGAATGAAAGCTTTTTATGTATGTCATAATCTATCTCCTGCTGCTGGGGTCTTCCAGAAGAAATATGCGATTATCATACAAATGCTTCCTTTCTTTTTTGCAGTGCTCAGCAGAGGAGTAGCCAGATGAATAAGAAAAAAACAGCGGGTAATCAGGTAAGAATCACTCAATATTTGGAGGTTATGGGGCTCCGGTGTTATGAATGGATGTCAGTTTTGTTCCCCATTATTAATCATGATTTATTGTGGATGTCTGAATTAATGTCCATTGTGGATGTTGGATGATTTTGATCATATCATCTACATTGCGGACGTATAGAAATGTAACTGATCAATCGGCCGACTCCAGTTTGCACCCCATTTTTCAGCCACCAGATGGATAGATAGGCAGTCGGATTTCGTGGGCTGCAAGTGGAAGGTTTGTTAGCAGTGTTGTGAAGATGGGAGAAATTTGGATGGCCTTCTTACCTTATCCCCACCCACCACATTCAAGGAGAACACTCCATATCCTTGGGAAGAGAAAAATTGAGGAATTAAATGAAATGAGCAGACAGATTGTAAAAACCTGGTGCTTTACCAATGGAGTGGGCTTCAGCTCCCGCCCTACCAGCCAACGTGCAGCTTCTCTGAAAGGCACCAAATTAAGGTGGCTGAGCTAACCCTTGCTTTCCTTGGGTTCATCGCTGACCATATGCTTTTGAAGGCCCCTTCTGGATCAGGCCTCATTGTCTTCGGGTCTAGATGGCAGTGTCTCCATCTGCTTAAATTGTAAATTGAAAGTCCCCTAGGAGATGTTTCCTGAACCCTCTGGCACAACATTTCTCAACCTTGGCAACTTCAAGGTAGGTGGACTTCAACTTTGGGAGTTGAAGTCCACCTACCTTAAAGGTGCTGAGGGTGAGAAACACTGCTCTGGCCAGTCAAAATGAGTAACACAACAGGGGGGACCTCCCCTTTCAATGTCAAGACTGCTGTGTTTCTCGTCATTCTCATTTCCTCTTAAATCATCCTTTTCCTACCTGCCCACCTCCATCAGTTTTGGCCAACATCTCCTAAATTGGGTAGGCTGGCTAAGCTGAGTTGGGAAACGCTGCATCCTCCAAGCTGGATGATCCATTTCATCCATGATCTTGGTTCTCCAAGACCAGCCAGGGCTTCATATTTTTCCCCCTTCTTCTTCTTTCTCCTTTTTACTTATGCAGATTTCCTTTGCAGCGTGAGCTTCTTAGTGTGTTTGGCTATTCAGGCGTTCATTTGAGCAAACATCTCTGGTAATCAATATTTGAGGGGGGCGGTGGTTGTTATCTATCGGTCTTCCCTAACTTGGTGTCCCCCAAATGTGCTGAGACTACAGTTCCCAGAATTCCATTGGCGCCATGGGGGTGGAATTCTGCAAGTTTTTGTCTCCAGATTTGGTGGAATCAGACTGGGAAGGCCAGTGCATATGTGTGTATATACATCTAGGCATTTGTGTCTCTCTGTTGTATGTATATATATACATACACACACTTTTGGTGCACAGCTTCTTTCTCCAATTGCTTTTTTTGAGTAATGATTTTTCCTTTCTTTGCTCCTGTTGTCTCTGCTGGTGCTGCTCTCTTTTTTCAGGATGAGATCCTGGTGAGTAAGAGGGGAAAAATAGCCACTGTCTGTGGCATGGCTGACAAATACTAATTTTAGAACCTCTGGCAAGGGCGAGCCTCCTGCCCTCTGCTGCAGACAGAGCAGGGAGAAAGGAGTAAAATCGATCCCAAGTTTCTTGGAAAGAGGAATTCAGGAGACAAAGGGTCAGAGCTGGACAGGGGTTTACCCACTTGGACAGAGAGGCTGCAGGCAGGTCAGAGAGACAAGGAGGAAGTTGTAGAATCAGGGTTCAGAATCCCAGCTTTCCATCTTCCCGGAAGACAAGCTGGCTGGCATTTCATGCTGCAAATGCGCCTATCCGGACTAGCTGGTGCTTTGGGGATGTGGTGACTACAGCTCCCATCATCCTCCAAGGGCATCTGGAAGGTGCTCCTTTAAGGCCACAGGATGTAAGCTACAGACCAGATGCGGGCATTTTTAAACATGTTTGAAACTCAGCAGGCAGATTCCAAGCTGGGGACAGGAGTTGAGGGCCCAACGGACAATGAACATCAGTTGGCCAGATCTCAGGATGATAGACATTGCAACAATGGACCCCATTTCCAAAATGATGTCATTGGCGTGCTGGCACGACACATTTGTGTCCTGATGTCATTGTGCGAAGGATGTAAGCAGACGCAAAGGAGGTTATGTGCGTTGTGTACGTGAATGGGATCATCACGCAACTGATGTGAACCAGCACATTAAACTCTCCGATTTAATAGACAGGCCAGAATAACAAACACCCCCGACCCCTGAACCTATAATAGCTGAGGATGGGACTTCTGTAAGGTTCTCCAACCTGATGCAGTGGACAATGGTCACTCTCTCCAGAGAACATGGTCCATAGCCATGTTTTTTGGAACTAACCGTTGTTGAACTCCAACCTTTTTGGGGCCACCATCTTAGGAAAGTGGAACCCTCTAATTAGACCCTGTTCCAGGGATTTGAGGAGATTGTGCATTTTAAATAGAGATGGGAAAGTGGTGAACTTAACTTGTCATTCTTTAGATAGGTGGAGATTATGACTTTCAAAGATGCTAATCTGGGGGATGTGGCTTCAACATGACTTGTTGAAGGGTACAACAGTGAGGACGCTTGATACGTTCACACAGCACTTATACATACAGAGAGACCCTGGTTTCTCTGTTTCCCAGCACTGCTCTTGTTTAGTGTTTAAACGCTTATTAACTCATTTGTTTCTCATCTCTTCCTTCCCCTGCTTAATCAATAACCCTTACAAGGCAAACGAGCTGCATGCATTGCATAGTTTTACAAAGAAATCCCCTTTTTAGACTTGGGGGTGGCGAAACCGCCAGGAAAAAAAATACGTTATTTTCCCTTGAGGTTTTCCAGATTTTTTCCCCAAGACTTCACATCACTAATCCCAGATTGTTGGCTTGAGTTATCCTCCATGGAGAATGCTGGAACAGCTTTTCAGCCAATCCTGCTGCGTATTGTGTTCTGTGTGGTGCGGTTCTATCTGTATCCCCCAGGTCTGCTGTCAGGAGTCATCACTCTGATATATTTTGATGACCTAGGTGATCCGCAAGGGCTGGCTTACTATCAACAACATTGGGATCATGAAGGGTGGCTCCAAAGAATACTGGTTTGTCCTGACAGCAGAGAACCTCTCATGGTATAAAGATGACGAGGTAAGGACACTGAGTTTATGTTCTCCATTTCTCCTTGGTGACTCTTCGCCATAAATGAAAAGAAATGCTAAAGCTTCTGAAATTGGTTTTTGGGATCCATAATTGTTCACGGAACCCATCAGATCACATGAATGGTTCTTGCTAATTATCTAATCCTCTAGCTCAGGGTAGGCAACCGGTGAACTGTGTGTGGATTTGGTCACCTCCAGGTGGCCAATCAGAGATGTAGCTTCCCTGGTCAGGGTCCTACAAACTCCTAAATTACGAGCTAATTTCAGACTGATTTTGCCATCAAACTGGCCTGGGGATCTTATTAAAATTCCTTTCCCTTCCTTATTTACTTACTGGTGACTTATTTCTGGAAGAGGCCAGTCTGTTGTTTGAGTTATGTCATGAATCACCACATAACCAAATGAACTTTGTTGGAGTTGTGCATCTTAGAAATGAGCTATAATTTGCAAGGCGGATCATATACCAGGGAGTGGGAAGAGACCACTAGTGCCTAGAATATTGGGCATGGCAATTGGTAAGTGGCATCTCCTCTTGCTTAATGTGTGGGTAACTTGGCATCTGACCTGGCTCAGTCTGGCACATGGTGTTCTGTGACTGTTTTCAGTGGCAAAAGGTAGTGTGATCTCCCTGTTGAGCTGAAAAAGACTCAAGGGACTCAGTTGTTGCTAAATTCAAGGGTAAGGATGGACCAATTTTTCGTGTTTGGTGGGTTAGGGTGAATTTCACTTTTGGAAAGGCAGTTTCCAAGGTCACGGTGTTGACTGGGAGGGTGGAGAAAGAGAGGCAGATTGTAACACAAGAGAGTTACAACTCCTTGCAAATTCTGTATTTGCATCAGGCATCAGAGATAAGTCTGCAAGGGCAGCCATTTTGGTGATGACCTCTTTCCACATGCATAGTTACCAGAGATGGAATTGCAATGCTTGGCTGCTGTTTTTTTTTAATGGAGGTGATGTTTTGGAAGAAAACTTTAGCAAAACACGTGTGTGCGGGTTTAGCAGACCTATTTCAGTTTCCATTTTTTCCCAAGAAAAATCACGGCACCCGACGCAAATTGCCCATCCCGGTTTCAGAAATGCCTCCCTCTTTAGAGTCGCTCTATGTGAAAAGGTTTCTCGGGGTGTGCAGCCTTCTCTGCATTTGTCTAAAAAAAAAATGCACGGACCATTTGCGATATTCAAGCTCACCAAGGATTCTGCTAGTTTGGAGGGAGAAAATAGAGTACTTCCTTCTCCGTGGCAAATTCCCTAGCTAGCATCTGGCTAATAAATCAAATCGTGTCGCCAATAAATCAAGGCCCAACCATTATTTCCTCTGCCTCGCCTGAAGCTCAGGCAGTTGTGCAAAGTGTTTCCCTTCACCGTGAAGGCTTCATTTCCTTCCAGTAGGGCTTAAAAACAACCTTTCATGGTGGTTATCTTGCCTGCAACAGCTCCGTTGCCCGCCTGCCTGACTAGTTTTGTGCCTCAGCCTTTGTGGCAAAGGGAAGTGCCCTGCAGTTTGAAATTAACCAAAAGGATGATAAAGAGTTAGTGCTAGAAAGGAGACTTGGAACAGTTGAGAGTTTAGGTGAATAAATAAAAGTAAAAGTACCCACCAGAGGGGCACGGGGACAACTTCAAGGTATTTAATGGACAGATGTTCAGATTAGCCTAACTCTGGCCAGTGTCCTTGTCATAACTTTTCCCGGATTATTCCATTATGCTGGCTTGGAGAGATTTTTTCCCCCCCTGAGGGGGTAGTTGTAATTTGGAGCTGGGAATTCTGCAAGTTGGATGCCAACATCTTCTGGAGGGCACAAATGGGAAAAGGCCAGGCCAAGTCTTTGGGTTGGTTTGCACATTATGATTTGGTGTTGATTTTAACCTCTGCAGAATAGTTCCAAAGGGTTTTCTGGGTTAAGAACTAGATTTCCAGATGTTTCTTCTCTTGGAGACCTCTGAAGACCATCCAAGATCTTGGAAGGGGACTCAGTGCAATAGACAATTCCTAAGTTAACATAACTCCTTAGAAAACCTACAGGTACCCCTGGCAGTTGTCACCCTTGGATCCTTGGGGCTGCCATATTATCAACTGTTCTCTGCCCCACCTTTGCTGCCCACCACAAAGTTGTCCGGCTGTCATCGCTTGCTAAAATTTCCTGGCACGGCACCTCTCCCTCCACCTCCTCTGAAGTGCCAGCGAAAAAGCAAACATACGTTTTGGATTTCAGATTGGCCTCAGCATCTGGATTCCAGAGGTGGCCCGAATCCCCCACCCCACCCTTGACTGCAGTTGCTCAAAGGTGCTGGGAATGACTACAGTTGAGCAGCATAAGCTGTTTTAACCAGTTCCAGCTGTAGGGATTGGGGGAAAGAAGTGGGGGGGGGAATTGGGACTCCCTTTAATCCTGGGGCAAGAGCAGCTCGCTGGGGGAGCACCAGCTGTAGATGTCTTCAGCCTCGTCTCATGGGGAGAGCGAGCCTCGTCTAATGAAAGGTGCTACCTGCCAGTTGCCGTCTCTTAAATAATAAATAATGGCACAGAGACCCCAGTGCTGGTAGAGCAGGAACTACCCCAAAGAAAGGAATCTTTGTTTCCACCAAGAAGAAGGGAAAGGGGGGGGGCTGTGTTTTTCTTTCCTCCCCTCCTCTTCCACATTTCCAGTAACCCCCCCCCCATCAAACACAGGCACCCCACCCTTTTCATAAATCCCACTCCTTGAGCACCGGCCTCTGCAGAAGGAAAAAAGTGAAAAAAACTAAAACGCTCCGCTCCGCTTGGGTGGGAGGCTCTCGCTTCTGTCCAAATTTTGAAAGCTTTTGGAATCTTCAGGCACGTTTATGCCTTTTTGAAAGTGGAAATCAGAACTTGGAGGTAAGAACCCTGGCAATTTCATACCAGACGGGGGCTGCACCATATCTCTCATCCCACAGTAGCCATGCGTTGCCCATGTTCATTGAATGGGGTTAATTCCCAGTGAATTAAAAGCCAAGAAGGTGGCTCCTCTTTTGGTTAAATAACTGATAGACTAGAAAATCAATGTGGACCAAAAGAAAAAAAATCCTAAAAAAATAGTTTTTAGGATATTTACTAAATATCTGCCATCATCATGGCAATTCTCCTACGTAGCAGAATATCTTTATACGTGAAGCAAGTGCCCTGCAGCTTGCTAGTTTTTCTCCAGGCACAAAGCAAATAAAATTAGCGTTTTCTTGAGTTTTAAGTTCACCTTTTAATCTTCCTCTCTCATTCAGTGTTTTACCACCAATCAATAGGGACATTTTTCTCTGTTGACAGAAGTATCTTTTCAAACTCTGCCCACTGAGCTAGGATTGCTGTTTGTATTGGCCAATCTTGGCACTCTAATGAGGCAATTGGGGGAAATTAAAAGCATCGAGTCATCTTTCTGCTTTTGCTATCCCCGTTCCAACTCTCTTTCGGCCTGTGTGTGGAGCAGGAATTTTGCATGGTCTTCCTGCGTTCCCCAGAGGAACCTCAACATTCACGTTGGCCCTTCTGCTCCCCAGTTTTATACATCTGCAAGCATAGATGGGATCCTTCACGCTGCTAGTCTAGTTTGCACAAGTTTTTTCCCCATCCGCCCCTGACATAAAAGTGGGATTTTATTGAGGAATCCAGGACGGAACTGCCTTTGGTAAGCATCGGGGTGGTGCTTTTTCAACCTTCTTTTTTTTAAAGGAGGTATCCTTCTGGGGTCCGAGTTGGGAATGGCCAAAAGCGAAATGATTAAACCGAAGCACAGTGAAAGCAGGATTGGTGTAATGGCCTATTGTCTAAGCTGGCATGATGGGGAGCGGCAGAATCCAACCAGCCTTGGAACCGAGCACTTTGTCTGATTGGACCTCAACGTCTCCTGCTCGCCCCGTTGCAGCCAAAGCTGGATGGGTAGGACTAGAAACATCTGGGGATCATTAGCAAAATACCAGCCATTTCCCACAAAAGCTGCCTTTTTTCCTCCTCTCTCCCCCTCACCAACATTCATTCTTAAAAGAAGAAAAGAAATGCAAAAGGATCTTAAGGGGCCCTAGGCAGCACATGGAAGGGGTTTCTGGCCCCGTGGACGAGATGTTAGAACCAAGTGCGGGTGGAAAGCTGACTCCCCGCTCAGCCGCCCCCACCACCCCCCCGGTCCAAAGCCGTCTTATTTTTGGAATTATTTCTGTTTTCTTTGCCGCCTCCGGTTTCTCAAAGGGGATGGAAAGACACTTGATTTGTGGAGAGCCCGTGGTAGGGTTGATTTGCTGCTGCCTGAAATCAAGGTTGTGACTTTAGGGGTTGCGATGAGGAATGGCTTCCTTGAGGCAGAACTTCCCAGCCAGCTGAAATCAGTTCATGGTTCAGTGATCTGGGGAGGGGGGGTTCACAGCCCCACCCCAGTGGCCTTACGTCTCATGGGAGCTTGCTTGCAAGGTGAGGTCGTGCCCATGGCTACCATTGGACTTCCACAATGGTGTTTCAAACCATGTCATTAAAAAACGGAGAGGTTTGCCAAAGCCTTCCACACAAGGGGGATGAAAAAGAGGACCGAAAATCATAAATAATCAACATTTCGAACTCACTAAAATAACAGGAACGCCCTTACATAGCAACGCCACATTAGGCTACCCGTGATTTGGTGGCCCCGTCTATGAAAATTGGATCTGGAGAGTTGGGAAAGGGCTGTCTCTCTGATAGCTATGGTTTTGTTTTGTTTTTTTAGTTTGGAAATAAATATAAGTTTCCAAACTAGGAAGACCCTCCTTGCAGAGGGGTGTGCCTGGCGTGGGGAATACAGAGAAACATTTGGTGTGTAAGGACATCTAATGGAACTTGATCTATATGGGTTCGGTTGACATCTTTAACAAATACAGCAGTAAAGCATGCCAGAGATTGGGGGGAGGAGAAAAAAAGTACAACCAGAAGTGATTTTGAGGAATGAAAATCAAGAGAGAAGCTGATCAAGATGGGCTGTATCTTCTCAGCGGCAGGGTCCTCTTGAAGAGCAGCTGCTGAGGCAGATGGACAGGAAGATGATTGTTCCACTGGTGGTTTTCTCATTTGGGGGCCCAGAAGGTTGGACTGAAGAGGACTTTGGTACGATCCAGCACATCCCTTCTAGTGCTGACTTGAGAAGGAACCAACCTGTTTTCTTTGCGAGACTTTGTCATCCCCCATATAAGGGGTGCGATCTTATCTTCTGAAATTATGCTCCACTGAATTAAAAGAGGCTTATTTCTGGATAGACCTGAACATGATTGTGATAGAAGAGGAGAAACGACTACGTTCTTGAGAGCACCAATTTGTGGCCTATTAAATATTTTGGACTTCATTTCCCCCTCTGCTCCAGCCAACACAGACATCAGTGAGGCACTGTAATTCAAAACCTCTGAATGACCCCTGGTTGCATATTAACACAGACATCAGTGAGGCACTGTAATTCAAAACCTCTGAATGACCCCTGGTTGCATATTAACACAGACATCAGTGAGGCACTGTAATTCAAAACCTCTGAATGACCCCTGGTTGCATATTCCTTCCCTAACTAGGACTTTTAGTCATTCTAAATTAAAGAATGGGGATCACAAATGAATAAATCATGGAAAGTTTCAAGGTGTGCATCATTTGGAAGTCGGGATGTCAGACAAAGATGTCTCTTTTCATATACCGTTGGTGTTAGAAGAAGCAGCAAAACGCGATCTATACTTGTTAAAGGATACCCAGTCGCATTTTAAAAACTTGACGTCAAAATCCAATTTATTCCAAGAAATTAAACAAAAACAAAAAAGCCAAACCAAGTTCATTCAAAAAATCCCATCTATCTTTCCCAGATTCTTAAGAACTTTTCAGCTGACACTGGTTCTGTTCTCCTGGGTGACATTATACAATATGGTTAGTATGGAGGGCCAGCTTCTTTCAGGGCCAAAGAAGAGGAAATATACCATCTTGTTAAAAGGCAGAATATGCCGCTATAAATAAAATATGGAGATATTTGCACATACAGATGCTCTTTTAGGAAGAATTTTACCTACTGTGCATAAGCCACTGCAATATCCACGTTGTATTCTATCTTCAGCTTCTTAAATCTTCCAGCTTGGCTTGGAATGGGCTCTTGGACTTTTAACTGGGCGTAGAGGAGATCCTTTCAAAGAGAGAAGACCTTTAAGAGAAGATTGGCCTCTTTAAATTAGAACAGGAAGATGCCTAATGGTTGTACGTACCTTGAAGATCCTAGATACAAGGTCCTCCTTGTAGGTAAAGGCCTGTATATAGGGGTGCCTTTATCTAATGATGTTGATCTCTAGCTTCAATGACCTCGCATGAGAAGGACTTTCTAGAGGACAGTCTAGATGTTCTTTCAAGATACGCTAAATCAGCTTGGTTGGACTTGGGGGCTCTCCTGGTCATCCTTCTAGGTGCCCCCCCAACTTCACTGTACCTTTCCAGGTGGATGCATTTGAAACCGCCCCCTCAAAAAAAATTCTTGCAGTTCGCTATCAAGCTGGCACTTCTTTCCCCCCAAGGTGAAAAGAAAGGAGGCAGAAGAAGCATGAGGGAGGCCATAGAGCAAAATGATCGCTGATTAAAATAACCTTTCAGTTATGGCCCCTCCCGATGGAAGAGAATTCTGCTTCCAAGGCTGAATCCTGCCCCACCAGCCTGCGTTCCTCGCTCAAGGTAGAACTCAAGTCAAGTCGATCGATAGCAGCACAGAACTGCCCTTAAAATTTCTCTCCTGGCCATCTTGCTCACTTTCTTTGTCCGCCCTGAAAAGTGCCGTAGACGGACCCACGCAGGCAATCCAGCCCCTCCAATGATCGTGGCTTGGACTACGGCGTTGATGGTCTCCTTTGCCAGACACATGACTCTGGGCGATGCAAGCCAGCTAACAGAGCAGTCAACAAATCCGTTCTTTTCCGTAAGACGGGGCACCTTCTTTGCTTTCTGCCCTTCTTCCCAGCCACGTTGATTATCCTCCATATCCTCCATGTCGTTGTACATTTTTTTCTCCCCCCCCCCATGTCTCTCAACGGTTGCTTCTCCCCTCACTTGCCTCTTTTCCCTTTGCCGTCCATCGATCAGAGCAACTCAAAGAGCAGCCGACGGTCAAATCTTTTCATGCTCAAATTTTGATAAAACGCTCGATCCTTTTCATCAACGTCACCATTCTCCCCACGGTGGGCTTCCCCCTCCCCAAAGGCCCCGGAATCTTTTGTCTCATCCCTCTGCTTATATCAGCACAAATAGCCAGAATATTATCTCACCCTGGACTGTATCTCAGCTTTGCATCTACGCTGCCAACCTGATCAGGGACACCTGGCTGCAGCGGTGGAGAAATGAAGGCAGAAACCGAAAACGGAGCAAATTTGAGACAGGGTGGAAATCTTTGGGGAGGTTGAGGCTGGCACTCATCTCTGTACTCCTTGGCCATGCAACGATCCCCGTCCCGTCTTGGAGGCACCAGAACCTGCTGTGTATCCCAGCACAGCCTAACCAATGTGCAGACTACTGTACAATCTTGTAGTCCTGAACAGGTAGTCCGAACACTGGGAAGACGGAGTGGATTCTCTCAGTCCAGAATTTTGGAGAAGAGCGGAGCGCCGGATTCTCTCCGCCGCCCCCCCCGGGCCTTTGCAAGGTAGCAAGGTGGGGGGTGGAGAGAGAGAGGGGAGTCAAAATGGTCCTAGAGAGGTGGGAAAGGGCAGGGTTCAAGGGATGGAAGGACCCAGTCCTGCATTCATGACTTACTTGGTCAGCGAAGCAGCTGAAGCGTGAACGCGTCTTTTCCATCTTCTCTAGAGACATCCAGCGCTCTTCCTTCTCTAGAACCGGCTCCGAGTAGCATCTTCTTTTTCTTCAACCTTGCAGGCTCCTAAGGAGAAGGTTGGAAGGAGAATGTGAAAATAAATAAATAAAATAAAATAAAAATCCTTAAAATTAAATAAGTAAATCAATTGCCCATTGGGGGGGGGGGGGTCCTCTGGGGGATCCAATCGGGTCCCCAAA